GAGAGAGAGAGAGAGAGAGATGTGAGCACGAGAGAGTGAGAGAGAGAGTACCTATGCCAAATCCAGTAACTTTCAACAGATTCCAGATTCCAGCATGTACCAGCTGCAAGTAATGCAATGAACCCTAGGAAGATGAAACGCCATTGGAATCTCTTCCTCAACCAGTCTATGAGTTTAACCACTCCTGTTTTTAGTTCTTGCCATCTGCAGTAAATAATAAATGGATATCGCTGATTAATGTTTCTTTGTTCAGTTGTACATTTGTATTTGGACTTTGAATTTTCTGATTAGTCCATTTTCCCCATTGAACCTACTTTTTAAGCACCTAAAATACATTAACATATCCTTATTCTAATTTTCTGATGGATGAGAAAAGGCTGTGAATTTTTAAGGGGATAATTCATTAAAAAATAAGTTAATTATGATTAAATAATTTTGACAGAGGTTACGATAGTCTTCTACAGTGGGAAAACATCCTGTGATAAGGAACGTTTTGTCCTTTTTAAAAAGTGAAAACATCTGAAAGGATTTGCGTGTTCCTTCCTAGTATAGTATTTTCCATTTTTAGAAATACACCCCTCCCCTCAACCCCTCCAAAAGGAAAAGACAAAAGGAAGAAAACAAAAAGTATTCACTTGATTGATCTTTATCATGTAAATCCCAATTGTACAAACAATCGATACTTTTGAGATGAATCGGAAACTGAATTTCAGCTAGGTCAATACAATATTGGCATTTCCAAAACAAATGTAGGCTGCAGTAAAGGTGTTCTTGAACTATAGCATCATGTAACATAAATTTTCTCTGAATAGGACATGAATTCACTAGGGTTTGTATATATTTCTTCATGTACAAATGCTTACACACTTGAACTCATAATTTCATTCCACTGAAAAGAAAGAAAGAAAGAATGAGCTATGTCGGAAGCTTACTTCCTTAGAAGTAACAAGATTTGACTGATAAGGCCTTCATACCTTTCCATTACATTTAGATTGAATTGGGGACAACTAAGTGTATGGGCTCGTGAAGAGTAAAGCTCTATCATCCATCCAACAACAAGCCCTAAGATGCCAAGAGAAACAACAATGATGATATTTTCTGACCTGCATAATTAGCTGGGGGTTAACCAATGATTTCTAAAGAAGGAAAGTAAACCATAATCTACTGGTGTATGAAAAACCATGGTCCCCAGAGGTCATTACCATCAAGTGAAATGATGGATAATGATTGGGAGAAAGAGGCTCCTAACAGAACAAGACATGGCGTCAATGGTGAGCTCCACTCTCCATCACCATCAGTCATTTCATTGAACGGTGATTACCTCCATGGACCATCGTGTTCCATAATCTGCTTGATCATAGTATATATACAGAATCTCCTATGTGTGCCAAATAAGTAAGTTTGTCACCCTAAAAATTGTATTATACCTGGTGGGCCCTTCTGCAGCAATAAGAGCAGTGAGAATAGCAACACTTGTATGAATTGCTCTTTTAGAGACTTCTTCTATTTTAGCCATGTATATGAAAGTGCTTACAACCGCCACAAATGAAAGCCAAAAGTCCATGAACTGATATTCAATTCATTTAATAGAGTTAGAAGGTGATCATTCCTATAGAGCAAATATAGTTATATAACATAACAGGTAACTTAATAATCAGATTAATAAATGAAAATACTTAGATAAATATGAGCAACATATAGAAACCAGCATGAGAAAGGAAACATAATTTCATATGAATGAACAAGGGAAAATACAAGAAACAAAAGAAAGAATGATGGATCCACATGACATTATTACCTTTTGATATGGTTAATACACACACACATAACAAAGTCAAAAGGAAAGGCAGTTTCTGGATATGTGGCATCTGAAGATCTTAGCTCTTCTAAATACCCCATGTACAGTGCATTCACGATATTTATAATAATAAAGGATACTCTTGTTTGAGTGGGAGTGTTGGAATTTATCCATACAGGACCACTGGGCTCTAGCAATGAAAAAGGCCTTAAAAGTGGTGTGCATGAGTGAAATGGATCTCGCATTGGTTTTTGGACTAAGTCTTGGCTGATTGAGTCAGCGAAACCGGACACTGGGTGCAACGGTGGCTCAAGGACTAAGGCACCAACTGCTAGGCTTTACAGGTCAGCCCTCGTCAAGATTGGCAGAGAGCTCAGTGGTTTGTAGCTAGGGAGAAAGGATACTCCTACCGCCTGCATGAGGGTTGGACTCCACTAAGGGCAAGGGCCAAAGCCGCGACACATCAAGCTTACAACACGGATGCATGATAGCATGTATTTTTTAGTTAGGACCAGTGAGGTCTACATGCATGTGCTTAGAGAGGATGCCTACACCTGCGTAATGTTAGTCTTAGTGACTTGTCCTTGGGGGAGCACCAGAAATCCATGGTAACTCGGTAGTTCATCTTCATCTTAGCTAACTTTGATAGGCCAATCATGAATCCCTACAAATGGACAAATGGGTCATGGTTGTTGGGTTGTTTGAGTGGAGGAGTGTGATTACTGGGTTAGGTAGTGTGAAGTGCCTAGTTATTAGTTGGTACTTTATCCCATAGCATACTCACTCTTTCAGGGTTTGGAAAGATTGGTTCTTTATCCCATAGCATACTCCCTCTTTCAGGGTTTTCCAAATCTTTCCAAATACACCCCTAGGCATTTATAAATAAGGCACTTGTCTCTCTATTCCATTATCCAATCAAGTGAGTTTTTTAGCCCAACGAGGAACAACATTGAGAATGGTATTCTAAAAATAATGATACAATGAAAATTTTTGAATTTCCTAAAGATACATCTTCCAGTTCTCTGCCAAATGCTATCCAGACAGCATAATCACTCTTCTAGGAAATGCCAATTCCAAGAGACACATTTTCCTAGGAATCCCATTTCCAAGGAACCAAACGGGGCCTAAATGCACCGCAGACGAGCCTCGGTTCACATACATCATATAAATGGTTTTAAGTCAAACATAGTGATGGAGCAGAACAAACATAAGCATACCAGATTTTGAATGCAGAAAAATAACATAACATGGTGAATGAAGAAAAAAACACAGTGGCTTGAAAACTTCCCAATGCCTTACATGGCAAATTGAGGACAAGAGTTACAGACCATTCTTGAAACAAACACAAATTTGAAGAAGAAACTTTATATGTTTTTTTATTATTAAAAAGGATGAATCTCTCTCTCTCTCTCTCTCTCTCTCTCTTTCTCTCTCATGTCCATTGCCATGCTCTTATGAGAACAATGTTGTCAGTTGGAGCATAAGTAGGTTATAGCATACACGCATCCTTCGTCCACACTTGGATCATTTAATGATCACCTTGAACACTAGCAATATCATTCATAACTTGTTTCTAAGCTAAGATAACCCTGATCATTAGCAAGACCAACTTCTCTTTTGATTGTTTAAGACCCAAACGCAAAGGACAACAGAGTTATAACAACAAAAATGCCACAATTCAACAGATGAAACAATTAAGTATAGCGTGCATGAGGTAGGCCTCTCAATTATAATATCTCTGAGCATTGAGATGAAACCAAAATTTAAGTGAAACCTTGGTTTACCTGTAAAACATGGAAAGATAGAGCACACCAACTACCAACATCACATGCATGATACAGCCCACTTGATAGTCCACTTGAAGTGAAGAGTACCCATTCAGCAAAAGCCTGAGCAAACGAATCCAAAAAGCTCATATACCAAGCTAACATTAAACAAATGTTTCATTTAACAAACACAAGCTTGATAACAACAGCAAAACCTTACGAGGTATAGAAGGGTATGCCATATTATTTTGAACAACATCAATGAAAAAACACCGAAAATCATAGTAGCTCAAACAAAATACCTAATAACTTACCACATCAATTGAATTTTTGAGGCAAAAAAGAGAGATTCCCACAAAAGAAATAATCCAAAGAAATATGTTTGTGTAGCAGAATGCCAGGTTTGATGCTGTAGGAGACAAAATTCAGTAAGAGTGCTATGGCTAGTCTGGCACCCTAGTTTCACAACATTTATCCAAACCATTCCGAAGGAACATAATCAAAGGGGAAAGAATGAAAGCAACATGAGACCTATGCACAACAGGTAACATCACTACATGTTACAGAGCATATGCCCATGGCTCCACTAATTTTAACACATTCTTTAACAAATAGAAGTTCAGTGGAAATCATTCCAACTGACCATGATTCCAAATATTGACAGCAGGTACATAATAAGCTGGGAAAGCATACTATGATTGGGCTACAAAATATCACAGTTCCTAACGGTCATCTACGTCCCAATAACATGGATAATGATGGAGTGAAAGAATGGACCTACCACAACAGGACATGACCTATACAGATTCCATCCGCCCGTAGGTGTGCAACACTGAGATGATCTATATATACATTACATGGATAAGTGGCACAAGAACAACAAATATTGGAGTCATTGTTTGAAAACCCAAAACTGATTATTGAACCAGTCAACAACTAGACCAGTCCAGATAGGTAATCCAGACCCAACCGGACCAGTTCGATCAAGAGAAAACAGAAAAAAACGACACTTCATGGTTTTAAGCATTTTAAACTATAAAACCATGAAAACTCTCCAATAGAACCCCCTTTTCCCTTTTCCCCTTTCACCCCACATCTCTTCCCTTGCCCCCCCCTCCCCACAGCCCAAAAAAAAAGGGGGGGCCCCAACCCAAAGTCTAAAAACCATCACTTGACCCATCTTCATCTTTCCAACTCAAAACCACCTCATTCATCCCCTTCTCTGCAACATCATACCAACCAACCCAAATCCACCCAAGCCATCTTCTTATTTGTGACTGAAAATTACCGACGATTCAATCCGGAAACAACTCAACCAATTTTCTCAAAATCACCATTTCAGTCCTAAAACCACTCAACCAATCTTCTTCTTAGCAACTCAAAACCACCAATTCAATCTCAAAACCACTCTATCAATCTTCTTTTTAACTCAAAACCACCAATTGAATCCCAAAACCACCCAATCTATCTCTCTCTCTCCCCTTCAAGCCCCCTTAAAATCCATGAAATGGTAATAACCATGGTTCCAAAGTCCATCATTTTTATTAATGTTTTCAAATCTCAAAAAAACATAAAAATAAAAATCAACTCTTGATTTCATCTATAGTGGTTTAAAATAAAATTATTGTTATGGATCTAGTAAAGCATTAAAAAAAAAACATAAAAAAAATAAAAAACAAAAATCACCTCTTTATTTCATCTATAGCAGTTTAAATCCCAAATTTATTGTTATGGATCTTGTAGAGCATTCAAAATAGAAACAAAATGGATAGTTCCTAAGAAAAAATAGAGATAAAATGAGAGAGAAATCAAAAGAATGGCAGACTAGGGGAAAAAAAGGGATTTTCAAGGGTACATTTAAGGGATTTGCCCGACTTTTCACTTAATCGGGTGACTTCTAACAAAATTGACAGGTTTTCTGATAAAACAGAGCTCTATATAAATTAGACCAAGTCCCAGTTAAGTAAAGGAACAAGGGCGGTCAACATTGCAAAAAAAACAAAAAACAAAAGCGGTCCCTCACCAAATCCGATCCAGAATGAAGCTTTTTAAAACCTTGATTACAACCAACCCCATGTACAAAACAAATACAAATTATCATATTGCTAATAGATCGTATAACTGGAGTACGAATCCATGTGCATTGACTCCAACATCAAGTACTCCTCAATTGCTTTCTCTCTAAATGATAGAACAAGTCCTCAAGGCAATTGAGGCCAAGGGAGCCTTGTCAGGTGTGTTTTCATCTATTCTTTAGGTCATTGATTCTAGTGCTACCACACATATGACAGATGATATGCCGAATATTTGGCACATCACTCATTATAATGGACAAAAGGAGTGTCTAACGCTGATGGAAAGTTTCTTCCAATATGAGTTGTTGGTTACCTATTTTTCCTTTCAACTCCTCTCCTCTCTCATAGAATGGCTATCCATGTTCCTAAACCCCATGCAAATTTTTGGGTTTTGGGTGTTTCACCGCGGTTTACAAGACATCACAATGGACATGAATGACCAAATAACCGGGACCAAGTTTTAAGAGATCTGGAGGCACAAGATGCTCTCACTGTCTTCGAAGTATTAAACGCCCCCATCTAAGTAAAAATCTGAGGTGCTAATGGATCCCAGCGAGTACACTCCTAAGATACAGCCAGATCAAAAACAAATTCCTGAGTCCCTAAGTTACACGTTCAGAAGACCCGTACAAAACTACAGTCTATAAATCTCACATGTTTTTCCAATTGGTATAATGCTACAAACATCAAGTGGAACAAGACTTCTCTCACAACATAAACATCATCCAATCAGTATAATACAAACATTGATTGGGAAACATAAAAAAGCTAATAACAATAAATGTTACCTGAAAATGAGAGAACAAAGATTAAAAAACAATCCTTTCTCTCACTAGAGAGAGTACACCCAAAAGAGTATGGTACCTCACCCATGTGGTGGCCCTTTCTCTCTCTAGTTCTTCCTCTTACCTCATTATTTCCTCTTGAAACTTAAGGCCTCACCTTAACTCGTACCACTCTCTCTCCTCCAAAACCCTTTTATATGAGTGAAACAATATTATAATAAAATACAAGATAGGTGGCAAGAGAAAAGAATGTAAGAGTGTCACGTGGAGAGAGAGAAGTGCCATGTATCAAAGCACATGGCTCCATAAGGGGGAAGAGATGGGTGCGGTCAGCATGAGGTAAGGTGCATTAAACGCATTAAATGCAAGAGAGAAGTGAAAAAGAGAGATGATAAGTGGGTAGTGGTCCTACAAGGCAACAAAGAGCCAAATAAAATAGCAGCCAAATAATGTTGTTTTGAAACACATTTTTCGCAAAAAGCTAACAATTCCCCACCTGTTTCAAAACAACAGGTCTCTCTCTGAACATATTAGGAAAGAAGAATGCACAAGTGAAGGTGTCTTTTGGACTTGAATCTTCATGTAGTGTTATGCGGAACTCTTACCACGACAGTGAGTGGACACACCTTGAACTATGTCCTTTATTGATAAGCCTCCCATATGCCACAAATTCTCTTTCAAAAACTAACATTTTCTAAAAAGCTGGCGCTTTTAAAAGCCCTGTGGCGATCTTGTTTTCATGAGCACTCTAGGGAATGCCCAATTCCCATAGGAAGCAACCTTTACTTCCACACTCATATAGGTGAATCTATGGAAGATGTCCTACAGTACGATACACTAGCCTAAGCCTTACATCATCTTGGAAAATGGAATCATTAAGAGCAAAGCTCAACCTCTCGATTCATTGAAGTAAATTGTACCACACAGCCAAGTATGGGGCAAAATTTTTATAGATTTTTATAATATAAATTTTGTGGTACCCACATCCTTCATACATCACACGAGCGACTTGTTTTCCCCTTGAACCTTGGACTTGGGATCTCCTTATCCTAGGTAGGTTTCCCATCGCCATGTGGCAATAATACATTTGAGCTCAATCTCATCCCTCTAGCTTTCTTCCAGACTTGGTGCCTCGCAAGGTTTTCTTAATATTCTACCAAGTGCTGGTATAACTGATATGGAGTACTAATATGACTCCATCTCATGCATGAGTCTCAACTGATTATGCCTCAAGCATGTATAACTGGATTTGTTGAAATAAATCCCTAACCATTCGCTTGGTATACAAAAGCTTCACATTCATACTGTATGAGATTGCAAGCAAGGGTCTTGAACATGTGGTACGTCTACCATCAAGTCCTTAGCCAATGCCTCCTCACAATGGGTTTCAAGGCAATTTTCTCCAATCATTTGGAGATACAAATCTACCTCTTGGAATCCCAAAAATACACCCCCACCACCAGTGGAGATACATCTGAAAGTCATAGATTCATAAGAATCTTGAAAACATCACTGTACCTTTTAATACAATGGATCACCCACATTAAGTAGGTCATGATCTATAGTTCCTTTCAAATTGACCCTACAAGCCGCATCCAATGCTCTTAACTTGGGTACTGGTATTTCTATCCACAACAGAGGTATAAATCCAAGACTTAACGAAATATTTTCGGATTTCAAGGGAATAAGGACCTCACCAGATGGGACTTGTAACTCAAATGTACCTTTGCCAAAAACCTTAGCAGAGATAGGGTAGCCACGCTACAAACATCAATTGGAACAAGACTTCTCTCACAACATAAACATCATCCAATCGGTATAATACAAACATTGATTGGGAAAAAAATAAAAGATCTTATAACAATAAATGCTACCTGAAAATGAGAGAACAAAGCTTTAAAAACAAATCATTCTCTCACTAGACAGAGTACATCCAAAAGCGTATTGTACGTCACCCATGTGGTTGCCCTTTCTCTCTCTAGTTCTTCCTCTTACCTCACTCTTTCCTCTTCAAGCTTAAGGCCTCAACTTAACTCGTACCACTCTTTCTCACTATCTATCCTCCAAAACCTTTTTATATGGGTGAAACAATATTATAATAGTGTACAAGATAGGTGGCGAGAGAAAAGAGTGTAAGAGTGTCACATAGAGACAGAGAAGTGCCTTGTATCAAAGCACGTGGCTCCACAAGGGGGAAGAGAGGGGTGAGGTCAGCACATTGTTAGAAAAACCGGGTGATCTAACCACTAACCACCCAGTTAGA